AGAACCCTGACCGCTCTTGCAGAGGTCCCAGGTTCAGTTCCCAGCTCCCACATGGTGGCTTACAACCATCTGTAACTCCAGATCCAAAGAATCGCATATCTTCTGCTGACCTCTTTAGGTACTGTTTGCATATTGGGTACTTACATACATGCAGGCAAAACCTCATACACATAAAATTAAAATAATATATATATGGAGAAAGGTAAAAGGATCAAAAATTCAAGGTCATCTTCTGCTGGATACTGAGTCCAGCCTGAGCTACAGGAGGTCCTAATACCATCCCCAAAAAAGAATTAAAATATGAAAATTATATAGCAAATTTCGTTCTAGGAGATAATGTCAAGGCTCCTCTTTGCTTCAGTCAGGATACTGAAATCAACAGAACAGAAGGCACAAAATGAGCTCCCACTGCCTGGCGCTCTACAATCTTGAGGAAAATGTTTGCAAAATGTATTAATGACATTTCTATTGCCTTAATATCAATCTCTTCATTACTCTTCATTATACAGGTAAAGAAACTGAAATTCAGAAAAAAAATGCAGTTTATCCAGGTTCACCGGGCTTGGCAGCAGCTGAATAAGAATTAAAATCCAGTTCCATGTGCGTGCACACCCCAGGCCATTTTGATCGTGCCTTATTGGTTTAAGGCTGCCCCTACCCAGAATCTCAGAGACAGAACCAGTTCTCAGTGTGAGGGACTATACCGCATACACATACAGACTCCTCTGAGGCCGGAGAATGGCTCCCCAAGGCTCGTGGGCTGCAGGACCATCAGATCTGGGTGGGGCATATGAGAGTAAGGTGGCTGTCACAGCTGCCCTAGCAGATGGGTGCTACAACTGGGCCACCTGCCAAGACCCAATCTCCATGTCCAAACCAACCTGGACATCAGGGTTCCATTTTTGCCTTCTGCCTGCCCTGGCCTTGGTGGCTGGCAGTGCCCGCATAGACCTAAAAGGCCATGGTGACAGCCACTATCTCTCCTCCAGCAGCAAGCATCTCCCCTGATGTGGCCATATGGCCCCATATGCTCCTTGACAGCTGGACTGCTGAAGCAACTGCCTGAGGATGTCCTCTTCAGAGCCTCAGAGCCCTCACCACCCCACCTACCTCTGTCCAGCAGGCCCCAGGAATAATCAGAGAAATGCTAGGCTGGAATCCTGTACCCCTGGCTTTATGCCCTAGGCCAGCTATGGCCCGTCTGGGGACTGATCTCTTTATCTGTCTAACAGCAATGCTGACCTCTAAGCCCATCCCTTTGTATCCCACTCCCAAGGTTATAGATCACCCGAACTCACTCCAGTTAGCCAGTGAGGTAATATTTCCCATTGTCAAGATACAGAGAGACTGAGGTGCAAGAGTTGGCTCAGTGGCTTGTTCAGAGGCATGTACTACTGAGACTACATCTGTGACTAGGGGCACCTGCCATTTCTGCATGCCTCGTAGGTGATATTGAAGCTACCCTGAGCCCTAGGCCAACTCTTAGGACCCACTCCTGTCTCCACTCAGACAGAATCTGTCTTTCACCACTCGCCTTCCCCAGGAAGATACACCATACTGCTGCCCCTGCTGCTGCCCCTGCTCCTGGACTCTCCTGCAGCCCCAGGACTCCCTCACTGCCTCTCTGGCCTAGCCAAGCTCACCACCAGCAGCAGCAGCAGACGTGGTTTAAATCACAAATCTAATTTTGTCCCTTAAGAATTTTATCTCTGACCCCTGTATCTGGCATCAACACGCGCTCCTTCTCTGGGCACTCAGACTCCCTTCATGTTGGCCTGCTTATTGCCTGTCATTCTCCCGCGTGAGCGACTCCACAGCAAACACACTCTACCCACACCGGGTGCTTCCCACCTCCTTGCCTTTGCTAATGCCGGGCCGTCTCCTGGAAAGCCCTCACCCACATCCACATTCTCCAGTCCCTCATTGATTCAACAAAGATTTATTGAGCATCCACTACGCACCAGAAACATTTGAGCTGGCCCAAATCCCTCCCAGCCCTCCGTGCCCTCTGAATTGTCCCTTTTCATCCCCCAGTCTGTGCTTGTATACTCATGCGGTCCCCTCTGCTCAGGCCCAGATATGGGGATCCAAGCCTGGTTCCCCTTCACAGCTCATCCAAGAAGGGCTAACACTATCATCAGCATGCACCCCGGGTCCCAAACCAAATGTCCCAGATGTACAGTGAGCCCTAGATGTAGGATTCCAGGCAGTGGAGAGAAAGGTCCAAGGTGTGGTTTAGGGGAATAAGCACTTAGCACTGAGAAATCATGAAAAAGATGTACACTGGCCAGAGTGACCCTCTGCCCTTAAAAGAGGTCTCAGTGGTCAGAGACAACTTTTGCCAGCAAGTCACCCCATCATCCAGTCTACCCAGCAACTTCCTTAGGCAGCTAATTTGAATGTAACAAATTTATAATTTTAACCCTAGACAAAATGGGTCCTGGCTAGCAAGGGAATCAAAGGGCCACATTCCTGAGGTTACAGTGAGAGTGGCTAACTTCCTAAGGGGCCAATCAGTGGACAGTCAGTGGGCCTCAAGAGGATTCTTATCCCAGCAGCACAGACAAAGGGCCAAGAAGGTGACTTGCCCTTTCCCCAGTTTAGGAAGACACAGAGAGCTCATCTGGCTAAAACCAGCTGGAGGCCTGGAACAGAGCCACCTCTAGAACAGAAGAACAGGGCAGGGGTTCAAACAGGCCTAGATGGCAGAAGTTGGGCCATGCCAGACATTTGGCCACTCTCCAGCCACCTGGAACATTGGTCCATACCCAAGAAACAAAAATCCAGGGCTCAGTGAGAGAGAACTCGCCTAACATGTAGACCCTCGGTTGGACTTCCAGCCCCTCAGAACAAAGCAAAAGCCCAGCTTAAGGAGGCACAGAGGTAGAGAGAGCATAGTTGAAAGAGAACAGAAAAGCTGTGGTTGAGAATGTCAAGCCAGCAGGAGTTGGAGAATCAGCCAGAGCCAGCACAGGAGGAAGGAGGTGAGGCAGAGAGGCTGCCCAGGTGGGGAAGCCAATAGAAGCTGAGGAAGCTGTGGCAGCATTGTCCTGGAGGCACAACTACCACAACCAACGTGAGACCCAGTCATCCCTGAGCCACAGCCGGTACCTCCTGCGGAGTCAAAGAGACCTGCAGGCTATTCAGACCTCCTGTTTTTGACCTGTGCTCCCTGGGGAGTAATCGACCCATGAGCCATCAAGTTCCCTCCCTTCCCATAAGAATACTTTTAACTCTCTACAACAAAATGACTTGCTAAAGGGTGAACTCTTGACCCAGGGGGCCCACACTTAATGGGCATCGCCAAGGCTCAGCCTAGCTCTGATCCTGAAATAATACTGGCATGCCAGAGTTGTGCTGAGTATAGCAAGCAGACCAGGCTACAAACCATCACAGAGCACAGGCAGGATCTGTCCCCAAACCTAGGCAGCAGAAGTTTAACCAGACTAGAGTGAGAGGTCTCATAGGTGAAGTCAGAGAGAGAAAGTGGCTTGGCAAAACTACTTCAGGCTGAGTAACTGTCCCATCCAGGAAGGATGATAGTAACTGACAGCAGCGAGCTATACTGGGGTGACTCCAGCAACAGGCTTCTGGAGTCCTGGTTCCAGAGCAATAAGAAAAGTCCAGTTCTCCTGCCTACCCCTTCTTGCTTCTCCAGGATCAGGATCAGAGCATCCCATCAGAGAGGCAAGGGACCTGTCCTGAGAGAGGAGAGTGTTCTCTCAGCTCAGTTTCTACTTCAGTACCCTCCTCTGTGACAGAAAGTCTCCCTGAGGATACTGCCTTCTCCTCAGGTAGCTGAGAGACTCCAGGGAGATAATGGAGGTGGGAGGAGGTGGGAGGAAGCAGGTCTCAAGGAGAGAGCGCCTTCCCGGAAAACCCAGCTAGATACTGGCTAGTACAGCCACCGAGCCACTCCAAGCAGCAACCACGCTAAGATCAAGGCTTCTAAACCCAAGGGCTTGTGCTTTGAATGACAGAGAAAAGCAAACACATATATGGGCTCTGCACAGAAGAGAACTGGAAGTATTCAAGATCCAATCAGTATCCAAAAGTTACTTCCTAGAAGAGGAGGAACCTGTGCTGGAGATAAATAGGACTTAGCAAGGCAACTACGGGAAGGTTCCCTGAAGCAACCAGTACAGGACCAGCAGAGACTCATAGGGAAGGGGATACACAGAATAAGAGTGGCTGACAGACATTGCTCTAAGCTGGGATGGGGTTGTCAGGCAAGTAGGCCTGGATATCCCCTCCTTTCTAGCCTCAACCCCTTGAAAGGTGGGCATCTAGTTCCCCAAGCAGCTCAAATCCAATACATTAGTTTGAATTGGCAGGTAGTTCCTTTTTTCCAGCAGCCATCCATTGAGCACAGGACACAATCGCGGCCACACATCTGCACGTTTCCCACTCCTCCACCTTCATGCTAGCTGCAGATATTACTTGGTCCTTGTGGAGCTGTCGGTACGCAGTCCCGCCTGACCCTGGCAGGGTCACAAGAATCTGGTATGGTAACAACTCCAGTGGCACTACTGGGCTCCATGGGTGTCCAAGAGAGCCCATGGCTGATCTGGTGGGGTGTTGGGAGGGCACCCCTCAACCCACCAGGGGTTCCGAGAAGAGCCCCCACTCGAGTCTCCCTCTTGTTTTCTTATCATGAAGAAAAACCAAAGTTGAACCATTAAACCTCCACCCCACTGCCTCCAGGCCCACCACGCCCGGGATGCTCCGCAAAGTTGCTCCAAGCCTCGGTGATTCCTCAGCCAGGTGAGGGTTTGACGGAGCTGCGCAGCAGGCGGGGAGCGCGGTCACGCCAAGGGGGTCGAGCGTGCACGCCAGTCACGGACGCGCTCTCGACACCCCACCCCCACCGCTGCCCCCGAGGTTTCAGCCCAATCAGAGGCTGCGCACGCTGCGCTGCCGGCGGGCTGACACCCCAGCTCCCCCTCCTGCCCCCCTACGGCCCCAGCCCAGCCGCAGCATCCCGACCCGGCCACACTCACCATCCGAGCGCGCCGTCCACGCGCGGCTCCGCTCTGGGCCGTCATCACCTGGCTCGGCTCGCCTCCGATCCCTGCTCCAGCTTGGGTTCCCGCTCTGCAGGGCTCAGCTCCGAGATGGTGGCAGCGGCAATGAGCGAAGCAGAAAGGGCGTGTGTGCGTGCGCGTGTGTGCGTGTGTGTGTATGAGAGAGAGTATTTGTATATGAGTGTGTGTTCACCGGAGAGAGCGCGCAGCGTGTGCGCGGGAGGGCCCCCGCGCTTCCCTGCACTCCGGATTCCTGCCTTCTGCTCTCCACGCTGCGATGCCAGCAGAATCCCTAAAGCGCGCTCCCACCCGCCCGTGTGCTCACACTCGCGCACACACTTGGACGCGCACACACCCCCGCTGCCGCACACTCGGTTCTGCACTCCGGATTCTCGCCCTCCCGGGCGCTCATCGAGCCCCCCGCCCCCCGCTGCCCCAGCGTCCTCGCCGGGCGACCCCTCCTGCGCAGACCGCGCCTCACGTTCCCCGCCACTCCCAGAGGACACCCCGCGGGCGTCCCTGCTCCTCAATTATTCCCTGCCCCGCCGTGGCCGCGCTCGCAACCTCAGCCGGGCCCCACTGCCGGGTTCCTGCGGCTTCCCCCTCACCCCTGCCCGAGGCCGTGTGCTCTCGTTCCTTTCTCGTTGTTATCTGTCCCCCACCAGTCCCCGGTCAGTCCCTGGCCTCTTCCTCTGTCTTTCCGTCTGCCTCACCACCGCCCTTTACCGCGCCCACCTCCCCACGGCCCTACGCTGCCTCTCACATTCTCCGCATCACAGCGAGTACCGCCTGCCGCTAGCTGTGCCCCAGCTACCGGCACGCAGTGAGCTGCGAGGGTCCCCCGCTATCCCTCTGCTCTTGGCCTGAGCCAGGCTGATGGCGACGTCCTGCACTATCCTCGGCTACGACTCACAGAGCTCATCTCACTGGGACTTAAAGGCATAGCGCACACGACTCGACCTGCCCCACCCGGGGCTCCGAGAAGAGCGCCCTCGCAGTGCAGGAGCAAGCCCGGGCGGTGGGTGGTGCAGCTGGGACCGTGCAAAAGGCGCGGTGTTCACCGAGCTTGAGTCCAGCCCTCCGGGGCTGGAGGTGAGTCAAGGAGAAAGACGGTGGAGAGCTGCCCAGACCGCGCCTTGCAGGGGGCGCTCAGCGATTGTCCGCTCCGCCTGAGGGCCGACTAGGGACTGGGGGCAGTGTAGGCCAGACCTCCAGGACTGTAGGGCCAGGGAGGAAGGATTAGGGGACATTAACCCACCTCGGGTGAAGACGTCTGTCAAGCAGAGAGAACAGGACTCCTGGCCCAAGGCGGCCTCCCGCTCTTAACTACGTGACCTTGGGCAGATGCCTATACTTCTCTGCCCCTCAATTTACGTAGGAAAGACACTGACTTTCGTCATCTCTAGGGTCATTCCAGCTCTGATATGTTAGCTGTTCTGAGGACGTTGGGGTCCTGGAGTCACAAAGCAGACCTTCAACACCCGAATCACACCTCTTGTTTATGTATGTAACCTCTCCAGACTCCTCAAGTCCTGGTTGCCCGCTCCTTTGTTCCGACTCTTCTCCCATCTCATCAGAACAGAGAAAAGGCAGCACTGAGCAGAACAGGAACCTACTGGGTACAGTACTCTACAAAACAGTATCTCCCTGGACTTTCATGTTTCTGACTCCTGCTGCCCAAGTCTGCGGAGGGTCACCCATTTCTTTACTAAACACTTACTGTTTGCCCACATCTTGTGCTAGGTACAGGAATATTAGAATCTGATTGGTGGCGGCATCAATCGGAAAATGAGGAAGCAGGTGGGGTAATGGGGCTGTTGGAGTGCAGGAGAGCCTGGAAAGCTTCCTGAGAAGGGAAGCTTTATATTAAAGCGTGAGCAGGAGGTGGCCAGGGAGGAAGGGAAGGAATGGGACTCTCATTTAGAAAGAAACATGCACAAAGACCACAAGGTGGGAAATAGGGAGCGACGGGTCTATTTTTGAGGAACCTTGAATTGAGCTTCAACTTGATTCTGGGGCAGCAGCAAAGCTACAACTTGACAGGTCTAGGTAGGAGCCCTGTCCTCCCCTCCCACACTAGGCAGGCTACAGGAGGCCTCTTCTCTCTTCTTTCCTCAGACCTGTCCGCAACCTCTGGTGCCATGATCGGCTGCCTAATGAAGCACAGCCTCCCCCTGCTGACAGGAGCTGGAAGTAGAAGCCCAGGCTGGGCTGCACTAGAATGTGTCTTGGGAGGGCCAAACTCTCAAGCCCATCATCAAAGAGCTGTCCCACAGCGAGGGCTAGGAGATGGTGGCGTACACCTTTAATACCAGCACTGTGGGAGGCAGAGGCAGATGGATCTCTGAGTTCAAGGCAAGCCTGGTCTACAGAGCAAGGCAGGACAGCCAAAGATACACAGAGAAACCCTGTCTTCAAAAATAATAAATAAATAAGAAAAGAGATAAGGGGAATAACACAGAAGTGGCTCAGATCACAGTGACATTTGGCATCTGTCCTTTTCCTTTCATGTCCCTAAGCCGGCTTGTGACCCATCCTGAAGTCCCTTCCCGCACCCATTTTCTCCTTCCCTGGCCACTTTCCCTCTTCCTTCCCAGAAGATGTCCCAGAGCCTTCAGGGAGATGAGCTCATGGCTGTTGCTGTTCTGGCTCCACACACCTCCTAAGGAGTCACCCAGGGCATCCAGGTGACGCTAGGGAAGCAAACAGAGACAAACAGCCATTCCCCAGAGGCCCTGAAATCCAAGCAAATAAGAAACTGCAGTTTGTGTTCCCATTCATTTCTCCTACTTTTCCTGTCCTGGAAGCCACATGACTTCTACGTATAAACTTAGGAATCAACACCTCCTGCTTTGCATAGCAACTCCCACAGATAGCATACCTTCAGCTTCCTCCCTAAACATGGGAACAGGGAGGCCCCTCAGGGGGTGGGCACCTAAGTCTATTCTTCCTTGGTATGTTCAGGTCTAGCTCCACTCTCCCCCAGGAGTTCTGCATAAAGAAAGCAGGTATAGAGGCTAAAGCTAACCATTCCCATCAAAAGAGTTGAGCAGTGCCTCTGCAGTGGTCTTGTCAAGGTACCATGACTACTTCTGCCAGTAAGGCCATTAAGGGGGAACTTGATTGTAACTCTGATCTGGTCATCAAGCAGGGGCCAGCCTGGGTGGCAACACCTACAGGCAATTCCAGGAAGAAGTGGGCATTTACCATTTGCCTCAACCCAGGAAGCTTGAGTCTGGAACCCTGACTACAGGCATCAAGGAAGTGATAAAAGGACAAACTCATAGATACGTGGACACAAAAAAAAACTAGTCAAATAGTGTCTGACACACCCACTACCATGGTGACCTAGCGTGTTCACTATGCATAGCACAGAGCGAGGGCTGAGCTAGTCTCAGAAGAAGGTCTCTGCTGGTGAGAAATCTCAGGCTGCAATCATCCAGGAAGGGGAATAGCAGTTGCTGCTTTTGTATACACTGGGTGCTTGCTCTCACTAGGACCTGGAGGGAGCCTTTCCCATGCATCGGAGCCTCACCCAGGGAGGACTTTGCCCTCCCACCAGGCTGAAGTCCTTGATGTGGCTAAGCCCACCTCAACAATACACAGTCACTCAAAATTTCACCTCTTCAGTTTCCTCTAGCCCCCACACCCATCCACATCACAAGCCTCAGTTTCCTGAGCAAGGTAAACAATGAGGTTCAAAGGATTCAGAGAAATGCCTCAGCATGCTAGACTGTCTACCTTGTCTTTGCACCACCCTATCCTGAAATTCTGACCTGCCTATCCATCCCCACCACCTCCCGACTTCACGATATACTCTCCTTTTGAGTCCTTCTGTCCCTAAACAGCCTCCTCCACCGTCTCTTCCCATTCCAATCTCTCCTTTATGCTCAGCATGCTATACACAGGAGCCTTCCATCACCTCCATCCTGACTCTAGTCCTGGTGGCATTCCCACTTCAGAAGGCTCAGCATGGGGCTCCAAGATTTGAACTGAGAGTCTGTATTCACCTTGTATTGAGAACCTGTCCAGAACAGGCACTGTGCCAGGTATGGGGTGAGAAAAAAGGGACAAAGACCATCATGCAGGGAAAAAAATAGAACTGAAACAAGCATTATGAAGAAGACTGTGGGGTGGGGGAAGGCTGGCATGCTTTGGGGAATCAGGAAAAACATCAAGTCTTAGTGTTTGACCTGGAACCAAAGGTTTGAATAGACATTAACTCACAGAAGTGGTGGATTCCATAGAGAGCCCTTGTGTGCAAAAGCCCTGTGGTGAGAAGACAAAGAGAGAAACCATGTGACCAGAGCAGAACAAGGAAAAGGAATTGGAGGTGGGGCTACCAGTAACATGAGGCCAAGACAGCAGGTTCTAGTAGGCCACATTGGGAGCTGGTTTTAAGTCTTGAGGCTCTGACCAACCCTGGAAGTTCAAAGCAACAGATGACCAACCCACTTTTCATCCATTTACTGCACCACAACTCAGAACCCTGCACGCAGGTACCACGTTTCCTAATGCCCAGGCCCTGGCACAAGGCTCAGCATACTGGTAACTTGGGCTCAGGACTGAGCTGACAATACAGGGGATCAGAAAAGCGTGGCTCCTCCTGAGGGCATCTAGGCAGCACCCGGTCCTCCCTGTCTCCGATCAGTAAGCGCTGGACCCATCATCTTCTGCCATCTCTGCTCCAACCTGAGCCATAGCCTACCACATGGAAGAGAATGGAGAAAACACAAAAAGCCCCTACTCGAGTCCCAGGGCTTTCCCAAGCCTGCCATTATTGGCCTGTGTTCCCCAGTCCTCCTCCACCCTTCCAAGATGGGACATTCTCACTGGCTTTTCCTTCTACCGACACCTCACAGCCTGGACATCCGTGCTGGCCCGCCTGGGAGCAGTGCGGCGTATCTCCCCTGCCACAGCGCTGCTGTGTGGGTCCAGAAAGCAGCCGCTCCCTCCCACACATGTTCACTGCGGTGTTCCACCATCCACATCAACTCTGCACTCCCTGGTTAGGGGAGTGGGGGTAATACCTGATCTCTCTTCCTAAGGAGGTAGAGATGGCCCTGAAAGTGACCTTGATTTCCTGGAACAAGGGCTCAGGGCATACTGCCTGGAGGGCTCTACACACCTGTTTCTCCCATGCTAATCACACCCACCTGCACCCTGGGAAAGGGTTCTGCTGTGTTCAAAGCCCAGGGAAGAAGACGTGTAGTCCAGCACAGACATACAGCAGGGGCTTAGGAAAGGGTTGTCCCATGACAGCAGGGCTCTAAGGCGGTGGATGTCAGGGAGCTAGGCAGAAAGGCAGCCCTGTTCATGACTGAACAGTAGAGTTGAAATTAACTACATTTTGGTAGTTCAC